TGGGGTGATGCCGGGTTCTCCGGCCAGGCATGCGTCGTTGACGAGGTCTGGTGTGGCGGGATTTTGAAGGCACTGAGGTAGACATGTCGATGTGAAGCCTTTTTATAGCCCCGTACATGGGGTGAAGCGATGGCACGCGGCAGACGTTGGAAAGGTAGCCAAGCCCTGGGCGACGGGTGTTGCTTCTGGAGTTCTGAGATTCTACGTGAGTCTTCTATAGCTAGTAAGTGGAAACCAAAGAGACACATGGTCAAAGGGTAGAGACCAACCAAAGCGGTGGAGTCCAAAAAAAATTAAAACGTGTGGTAACGTGCAGACTGCTCTATCTACCACACAATTAAAAAACCACATAACAAGTGTCATTTTTACAGCAGCGGTAAGAAAAATTCCAAAAAATCCAGAAAAAAGAAACCCTTACGGGCCTAGTATTCTAGTTATGTATTGCATGTCCATCCAAGAAATAATAAGCTACCGGACGAACGGCCAATAGGACTGCGACAAGCGCAAACTATTCCAGGTGGGAAATACTAATAGCATGTTTTGCATAGGGCTTTCGTGCGAAATATGCATCCGTCCTAGAGCCAGCCAGCCATGTACTGTTTTGATTTGGACGGTGACTTGGGTGGATGGAAGGAACTCACACGTGTGTGTAATGCATGCAACAGAAAATGAAGCGACTCGTGGAGGAATGTAGGCCGTGGGTGAGTGAGGGGGCACATCACCACATATTTTACTACTCCCTCTCTAAACTAATATAAAAGCATTTAGATCACTATTTTAGTATCATAAATGCTTTTATATTAGTTTACGGAGGGAGTACTAACTAATACTCTCTCTATTTCAAAATAAATGACTCAATTTTGTATTAGTTTTAGTACAAAGTTCAGTCAGTTATTTCGGAACGAAGGGAGTACATTTCTTATTGTTTCTCATATAACCTTTTTGCTTCACGAGCTAGCTTCTTTCTTTTGGTTTTCTTTAAGGATCTTTTCTTTTGGTTTCATGCATTGCCAACCACCGATTTCTCACGGCCCAAATCTGAACACACGTCCTAAAAGGCGAACACACGTTCTCATGCACGCGTTCATTTGTATCTATTTTTCTTTTTTCTTTTGCGGGGACATTCATTTGTACCTTATATGACTACATTTTCTTTTATCTTTACTACTTCATCCGCAAAAGAAATATCATACTACAAAATTCAAAAAAAAAAGAATATCATACTACTTCACTTGTCTATCAAAATTGTTGTTGAAATTTCTGCCCATGACCTCGCCACTCGCAGCCCCCACCCGATGACCATCGTCGCCGTCCTCTAGACTCTCAGATATATCTACCTCCTCGCTCTGTTGTCCGTAACCGATCCGTCGCATCCGGTGCACATCCATGGGTTGTTGCAATCAAACATACTTGGATCGTGTAGGATTCGAATGGGCAAGACACGAGGCCCTTATTTTCTCCCGTGTCCTTAAGCGGCGACGCAGGTGTGGCTCATCCTCTGCCTCGGCCGCCCCCACGTCCATGGACCTCATTTGGGACACCCTAACTCGGGCCGGCCTCAACACCAACATCACGCCTACCGTCGGCCTCACCATCTTTTGAAAAAAAAATTGGGATTCTCACAATGCCGTGTGTTTCCACCATGAGCGTCTCTTGTTGTCATTCTTCTTAGGAGTATCATCTGAAACTGCGCGGTTTGGTTAAAGATCCTTATGACTTTTTGAGGGATGCATTTAGGTCGGGATCCTCTTTGCTAATGATTGTTAATTTTTATCTTTCTCTACTAATGCTACTTGAATATGAAATAAGATTCTCCCTGCCTGGCTCCGTACCGGTGATGTTTCAAGCGTCGTCAAAAGGGCGTGTGGAGGCGTGTCTTCGGCGAATCTTGTATGATCTGATCGGTGTTTGTCTTTGGTCGATCCGTCTGGATCCGTTATTCGTCGTCTCATTTGCGTGTCTGCAGGTTGGATCATCCGCTTCTCTTCATCGACGACGGTTGATGTTTCGATGCGCTGATCATATGGGGCCTTAGCACGACGACCTTCCGACTGTCTACCACAACAATGTTTGTCCTGCTCCGACGATGGAGGGGCGATGACGACGACGCGCCTTCGGCTCGCTCCAGTGCTTCTAGTTGTCGCTAGGTGGTCTACGGATCTGGATGCAAATTTTACTTCTGATGTTCCTTGTACGACCCGACAGTTAATGAATAGATCGAAAGTTTTTTTGAAAAACAAAAAGTTTTACGGCAAGCATTTGTTAGTTTGTTATCGTATCATTCGGCCCTTATGATATTTTTGGATAATAATCGGATAAGGAAGCGTCCGAGAAGCTCGCGGGCGCTGACCGTCTTGACTTGCGAAGGAAGTTGCGTGTCCCCTCCTTTTTGCACATACCCCCTCCATCCTCCCCATGTCGTCACCAAACGATCCTCCATCCAGTTCCCCTCCCATCAGCGGCGCCCGCCACCCACCCGTGCGCCGCCCCGCCGAAAGCAGAGATCTTTCCGGAGATCCCCCACGATCGCCGCGCGCACACCAACAAATCCGGCCTCCCGAATCTCACCGCCGCCTCCCTCGATCGCGCACTCCTCTCTCCAACCTACCACCGCCGCCGCCCTCCTCACAGCCGCAGGAGGGATCGCCTGACCCGGGGGGAGAAGGCGACGTCGCCGCCGGCCACGGCCAGGGCACGCCGCCGCCGGGTCGCCTTCCCTTCCTCTCGCGTCGGATGCCCCGTCTCAAGGTGAGAGAAAAGGATCTGCTTTCACTGCTCACGCGCGCCATTGCTACTGCTTCCGCCACAGGGGATTCTGCGAATGTCCTGTCCTCGGGATAACGCGTCGCGGTGGCCGGTGGCCTGCCTTCGCCGCCACCTACCCCCGCAACCCTCTTTCCCGCCCGGCCGCCCTCTGCAGCCCGGGGGTGGGCTGCGTCAGCCCTAATTCCCCAGCCCAGCCCGGCCCCCGCCGGCGCCGGCCACCAAGAAGAGGGCCGCCCTCTTGTGTTCTTGCTAGTACCAGTACGCCAAACCGGTTGATTGAATCCCCACAAGCCGCGAAGGTCAAATTTTTTGTTTCCAGCAACAACCACCAAAAAATCATGTTTCCCCCCTTTGCATTCAGCTCTCACACACGAGCTCCCATTTTTGGACTATTACACCGATTGATGTACCCAATGATGTGGCAGTATTATCCCCTATCAAACCTTAGCTCAGAGAACAAACCTTTCCCCTGTTATTCGTAGCATCTTTGTGGAAACAATCTTTTAGAGAGAATCATCTTGGATGCAAACGGATCAATTTGCCCTTTGTTCAGGACTTGTTTCCGTGCTTCGGTATCACCATTTTGGCTTATACAAGTTGAAGGTTTCAAGCTAAGGCGCAGCAGGGGTCTAGATTATGGAATTATTCTTGAGCTCTCATCCAACTAGAGCCCTGCAGATAGCCTTGACTAGGCCAAACATTGGGGGATTTTTCGGGTTAGACTGTAAATCCAACATCAATTTTGTAGTCGAAGCTAAAATCCAGTAAAGCTGACTTCTGATTGGCCGTGACAGCCACCCATTTGGCAGAAGGAACTCTCTGTTTCTGAAGAAAGTTTCACTAAGAACTGCACTTTTAGCTTAGTAAACGAAGTTGTTGCTTGTTCATCATTTGGTTTCTGCTTCGGACATCCATAAGCTTTTCACCATGCAGAAATAGGAGAGGTAATAACACAAGTTAGGTTAACTATATAAGGCACTTGTTTTGCTGTACATAATCTACTGGGCCAATTGAGTTCATGCTACTACTGATTTGATTTACAGCTAATAAAATAATGCATCCTAGTAAGCAGTATAGTGCTATACACAAATTTTGACCACATTTTTTTTTGCAGGTCTGCCAATGAGGGCCAACATGGAGCTCTTTGGTTGGTAGAAGTCGACATATATAGGCATTCTTGAAATTTGTTGATTAATTTATTAACCAGTAAGTCCCTCCCTCCCTCCCCAACATACATTTCTTCATTTACGCATGCTGGTAAACCTTCTATGAGTTGCCGACATACATTTTTACTTTGATGCATACTACTCCGTCCGTCCCAAAATAAACGTCAATCAGCGACACTTATTTTGGGACGGAGGGAGTATTAAATTATATCCTTGACAGTACATAATATCATTCTCTCTCGTCTTCTTAAAAGACAAAAGATATGACTAGATGAGGGACGAGCACATGAAAGGAGTCAAGAAATCGCATTAAGCTTGTAGCCCATTTATGCACCATATCTAGCTTCAAACTTTTTCTAGTTAAACACTACCTTGTTGTCTATCTAATTGTATATTGTTATGCTTCTCATTTGAATGAAAAGGGTCTTCCAAAATGCAACTGGGTAAGCAATTACATCGCTAAAATAACCTTAGCTAAAATGGAGCACCATAATATGGTGTTTTATTTATATATTCAATTTGGGCCAACTGCAAAATGGAGCACCATAATATGGTGTCTGTATATTCAATTTGGGCCAACTGCATGGAAAATATTTTTTGCAATATCCATTGCTAAATTAATCGTAACAAGCAAGGCTAGATGTAATTCTCGAACTTAATAACTACATTACTTGGTCATTATGCAGTGTACTGCATGCTAGCATTCATCGCGCAGTCTGATTCTTTTATACCAACAGTATTGAAAAAACCCTGTTGTCGAACTTGTAAATATGTTTTAGACTTTTGTTTATTGGTTAACGGTCACGATTGTATCACAGACAAGAAGTTGCAAGCTTTCTGCGTTCACTTGATAATATTCATGTCCTGTTATCTGTAGCTTATTTTTCCTTGTGGCTTGTACTGTTTCTGCGATTCTTGTGTCTTTGATTATAATAGTCCATCGAAACAAATGTTGTCATGCATGACCTTGGTTTTTTTTATCCAGATTATGAAAGCATAACCTCTTATTTATGTAAAATAAAAGGTTGTTCTAGTTGATAACACTATGTAAACTTTATATTGCAGTTCATGTTGAGGGCAAAGCAACTCAGCACGCTAACCCAGTGTGCACGGTCCTTCTATCTTAGTGGGTCAAGGTGTGGTAGCGCGGATGGAGCTTCGTGCACGTGCCCTGATGATGACACTTGTGGTTCAAAGAGGCAGACTGCGAGTGCTATCGAGCGCAGATCTTCTGTGAAGGCTCAGCCTCTGTCTGCGCAGCATGTTGCTGGTAGTGCTGCTGGATACCCAGCTCAAGCTGTTAATGTCATTCCTTCCACCTCATCTCCAGACAAGGAGCCAGCATCAAGCAACAGAAGTAACCATCCTGGTAACCGTCAGGTTCAAGGAAATAATTATGTGCAGCCATCTAAGCAGGCCGCCAGGGGCATTTCTCAGTCGGGAATTGCAGGAGCTGGTGTGTATAATGAGTTGGTAAATTTGAAGTCCTCCTCGAATAATGGAAGCACTAAGCAAGTTCCACAGGCTGGTGCCAGCTATTCTAGCAAGCCATTATCTGCTGGCCAGTCTTCTAATAACAAGGCAAATAATCAGCATAGCCATGCTGGGGCAAATACCCCTTCCATGCAAATTGATTTTGGGAAGGGGGGCTCAAGATCTGGATACGCAAAGCCAAAGCAGAATTTCTCGGGGCCAGCGGCTGCAGTTTCCGGTTCACCATCACAAATAAGGAATCAAAGGCATCCTAATCAAGGCCACTCAAATTACCATTCTAATAGTAGTCCCAATTCAGATGGCAGGTGGGCTGGAGTTCAAACTCGCAACTTCTCAGCTCCAACTGTTTATAGTGGTCCCTCTGACAAATCTCAGGGCCCTTTAGTAGGAACAATAAAAGGTCATGGCGGAGGACCGCAGTCTAATTTAAGATCACTGAAGTCATTGCGGGCAGTCGAACAGTACTACCATACGCTGCAGCAGATGAAGTGGGGTCCCATGACGGAACATGTTCTTGATAATCTCCGTTGCAAGATTGACGCGTTCCAGGCTAATCAAGTGCTGAAGCTGCTTCATGACCACAATATCGCGCTCGGTTTCTTCCATTGGTTGAAGCGGCAGCCAGGGTTCAAGCATGACGGCCATACCTACACCACCATGATAGGGATCCTCGGACAGGCAAAGCAGTTTGGCACGATGAGAAAGCTTCTCGATGAGATGAGCTTGGTAAACTGCAAGCCAACTGTGGTGACATACAACAGAATAATACACGCGTATGGCCGTGCAAACTTTCTAAGAGAGGCTGTTAAGGTCTTCGAGGAGATGGAGGGAGCTGGTTACGAGCCTGATCGCGTCACATACTGCACACTGATTGATATCCATGCTAAGTCAGGGTACCTGGAAGTGGCCATGGATCTGTATGGCAGGATGCAAGAAGTCGGCCTGTCGCCCGATACCTTCACCTACAGCGCCATGGTGAATTGCCTTGGAAAAGGGGGCCAGCTGGCGGCCGCCTACAAGCTTTTCTGCGAGATGATCGGGAACGGGTGCACGCCCAACCTGGTTACCTACAACATAATAATCGCCCTGCAGGCCAAGGCAAGAAACTACGACAATGTCGTGAAGCTGTACAAAGACATGCAGATCGCCGGATTCCGCCCCGACAAGATAACCTACAGCATCGTCATGGAGGTTCTTGGTCACTGTGGTCATCTGGACGAGGCTGAGGCTGTGTTCCTCGAGATGAGGCGCGACTGGGCTCCTGACGAGCCCGTGTATGGTCTTCTGGTGGACCTCTGGGGCAAGGCCGGCAATGTCGACAAGGCGTTAGGGTGGTACCATGCGATGCTCCAGGATGGTTTGCAGCCCAATGTGCCCACCTGCAATTCCCTACTCAGTGCTTTCCTCAAGCTCAACAGGTTCCAGGACGCCTACAGCGTGCTCCAGAACATGCTTGCGCAGGGGCTCGTTCCGTCTCTCCAGACATACACCTTGCTGCTCAGCTGCTGCACCGATGCTCATGCGCAGATGGGGCTATGCTGCCAGCTCATGGCGATCACCGGACACCCCGCCCACATGTTCTTGCTGTACCTGCCCGACGCCGAGCCCGGCGGCGAGAACGTGAGGGACCACGCCAGGTATTTCCTGGACATGATGCACAGCGAGGACCGGGAGAGCAAGAGGGGCATAATGGACGCCGTGATAGACTTCCTGCACAAGTCCGGCCTCAAGGAGGAGGCCGGCTTCATCTGGGAGGTGGCCGCGCAGAAGAACGTCTACCCAGACTCCGTCAGGGAGAAGAGCTCCTCCTACTGGCTCATCAACCTCCACCTCATGTCTGAGGGCACCGCCGTCACCGCTCTCTCCAGGACGCTCGCCTGGTTCCACAGGCAGATGCTGCTCATGGACTCCTGCCCCGAGAGGATCGACATCGTCACCGGCTGGGGGAGGAGGAGCAGGGTCACCGGCTCGTCGCTGGTCCGCCAGTCCATTGAGAAGCTTCTGCATCTCTTCCAGTTCCCGCTCTTCGCCGCCCGCGGCAACACCGGCTGCTTTGTCGGGTGCGGGGAGCCGCTCAGTCAGTGGCTGCACAACCCCTATGTCGAGCGCATGCATTTGCTCTAGTCAGTTCTTAATTAGGGCCTGCTTCTTCTGCTAGGTTACGTTATGTATCATCAGGAATAAACACTTTTTAGCTAGCTGATGAACAGGTGCAGTTTTGTGGATCAACCATTCTCTTTGATGAAGGAAGCATCTGTTCTAGTTTCGTCGCCTGTAGCATGTGTGTGTTAAGAAAATGTAGTGACGGTTGAGTTCTTATGTTTCCAAACTTTTTTATCTGTGATGTGATGAGAACATTTAGACATTGCATTGTTGCATTCTGAATTAGACAATGACTTATGTTGCTGTAGCTGTAAGTTCCAATCCAACCTTCTGGAAAGCAACGCATCGGTCTTCTGATTGTTACACCAAAGTTTGCATCAATTCAGGAACTTGCTTCACAGCAAAATTGCTGCTACGATGCGACGAATGAGTAGTCGATGTACCTTTCTGAATCTTGGTTGTGTGTAATTTCATCTGTTATAGTTTCATCTGTAGCGAGTGTGCGGACATTTAGGGACTGCATTGTTGCATTCTGATTCTTTAAAAAGAACATTAAGAAATTCTTTCGCAACAAAAGGAACATCAAGAAATTGATTTGTTGCATTCTTGATTAGACAATGAGAATTGTTCTATGTTTCAGTAGACCAGGTACTGTAGCTCAGGAAATGCAATGAATGCACTGGGTATATTGATCTTCTGATTCTTACTGCCAAGTTTACAAGGATTCACAAGTTGCTCAACTAGGATCTTACTCCATTACAAAATTGTCGCTACAAGACGACGATACAGTTACTCGATGTGAATCTTGGTTATCTTTGCTTGTTTTTTAGCTACAATACTGTGGACTAGCAGCTAAGCTACACTCTCAAGTTTTTACAAAGTTACTCAGCCAGTAAGAACTAAGAATCCTTGAATCCCTCCTTGTCATGATTTCATACATGTCCTTAAGATCCTTGTAGTTGCAAACAGGCTTGCTCTTCTTTGAGAATGCTGTTTGATGCCAATGTGCCAATGCTTGTCCCAGCTATATACCCACCAGTCCATGCATTCTGTGCAAAACAAAGAGAAAATGCCAGTTGAAACCTTGTGTTCTCACTTCAAAAGTTTTTACTAATTCACTGCTCTCCAGGAAGAGAAAATATCTGCTCCTTACCTGAAAATTGAATCCGCCCGTGACCCCGTCGACGTTAAGTACCTACAGCAAGATCACACTCTGTAAGATAAGATGACCAGAGGGTTGCAAGTTCAAGAACAGTTGTGCTGTTACCTCTCCTGCAAAGAACAGATTGGGCTGCTTCTTGCTTTCCATGGTGCTAAGCGATATCTTTACAACAGATGAACAAGTTGAAATTTTCGTGAGTTGAACCATGTTTGTGAAAACTGCCATTAAGTTGTCGACTAATAGATACCTCTGAAAGTGGAACACCTCCAGCTGTCACAAATTCATCTTTGAATTGACCCTACATATGACGATGAGGGAGCATCAGTGAGCACAGATACATCAAAAAACCGCTATCGAGCTTTTCAGGTGATATACTTAAGATATCACGCACATACCTTCCCAACAACCTCAAACATCCACTGTTTTAAGCGAAGGGCTATCGCATTTAGATGACTTTTTGGCACGGTGGCCCAGTGCATGTCACCATCTAAACTCTGCAAGAGAAAACTTCGACTGAGTAAAACATCAAATTAAGGGGCTGAGTAAGGACCAGGATTCAGCTACTGCAACCTCTTGTTCTAGAAGGAATCCCCAAAACCTCTTCACCAGACCAAACTCCTTGGGAAAGGCGTTATTTACTTTGTTCTTCTGCAGAGATTAAAAAAAAATCTTAGTACAGCTTCACCATAATGTTTTACAAGGAAAACCGGAATATTCAGGGAATATTTCTGTGACAAAATTACATAAATCATACAAAACACTCCCTCCGTCCGGAAATACTTGTTGGAGAAATGGATGACAAGTATTTCTGGACGGAGGTTGGTTAAAGCACCCCAACATGACAGATAAAACAGAATGTTGTAAAGGTGGCTATAAGTATCTGTATCTGCAGTAGCAAATCTTCATTAAAATTGAACTCAGAAAGCCTAATAAGGGAGGCATATAAAGAAACAGAAAGCTATGCCCATCTTGTTGAAGGCATTTACAAGAACTGGTCGATTAATTTATTAAAGCAAGAGGCATTCAAAAGCAGAGTTAAAAATTTAAAACTCGGATTCTCTATTTCTAAAAAGAACTCAGACTCTCTCAGATGAAGACATTAACGAAGGATAGGGAAAGATCAGAACCGCATGTTGGTCTTTGTGCTGGAATAGGATCCGCTTCACGTCCTCGATGTGAATGTCCGGTATGAAGTCAACCACAAGCTTTGCTGTGTTGAAAGAAATATACATATTCCAACAAGAGAAGTGGATGAGTTCGACAATATCTTTTACTCCCTCCGTTCCACAATACAAGACGTGTTTGCAAGCTTGTGGGACAGAGGGAGTAGATCTTACATGCTGTTTTAAGATACTATTGTAATGGAAAGTTTCATGTGATTGATGGAACACAAAATGCACAAGCTGAAGAAACAAAACACTAGATCCAGCTATGTTCCGTATTAAAAATGTAGTGCCATTCGTGTACAATTTCTTCGGGCCTCACCTTGGTACTTGTCCTGATATAGTTCACGTGCTCCCCATGCAGAAAATCGAAGAACAACAGGGCCACTAAGCCCCCAATGTGTAACCAACATAGGTCCAGTCTGCAATGGGCAAACAATTGATGTAAGCAAACATCTATGACGGAGCCTATTGCTGAAGGTGGTCGGCTCACCTGAGTTAACTCAGGAGCGCTTTTCTGAATGCCATCTAGCATCAGCTTTGCCGTGACCCTTGTGA